TATATATATATATATATATAGCTATGCGTATGTGTATGTGTGTGTGTTCACATGCGAGCAGTGCATTGCTGAATTGTGTTTAGCCGCAAAGTAGGCAACACTAATTCTCTAGGTTTGGGGTGGACCAAAAAAACGAGTTTCTGGGAGAGCGTATTTCAATACAACTAAATCAGGTTTATCCGGCGTGCTGATGGGTACGCAAAACGCATATGCCGAAATTTCCATTTGCTTTGCTTTTTACATTCCAGTTAATAGCTCTGACACGCCCCCCCCGCCACAATCTCAATGCTATCCAGCTTTGGCTGTCGTTGCTGTTATTTATCTTTGGCACATTCATTCGAGTTTAATAGCTCGAGAAATTGATTGTTTTTTGTGTGTGTGCGGAAATATGTGAATGGAAAGAAACTGCCAACAATTGAGCTTGGGTCCTGTCAACGATTTCGATGGCATCCATTATGGGCGTGGCTTGCCAGCTAAGTGAAGCGTAAGTGCAAACGGGTTACACACTATTTTTCATGCCTACACAGCTCGAGCTACTGCTCCTTTGTTTCCTTCGACCATCGCTTCTGCTGTTGCTACTGCTTGGCCTGTATCCCCGTCGAAACTGATTTGCTGCTTTGGACGTCGCTTGCTACGCAACGTGGAATGCTGAAGCATGGCCATGGCCTCCAACTCGCTGCCACAGGGCAAGTGAAGCTCGATCTTTAAACGCGTGCGACTAATCTCTTCACTGCTGCGTCGATTCGAGCTACGTGACAAGATGCTCGAGTTTGTGGCAGCCGTTGCATTCGAGGAGTTCGTGTTGGTGCCCGAGCCCGTGGATTGTTGACCACGTGATTCACTAGCGTTGCGCCGCCTGCTTCCCAGAGTGAGCAACTGCCAGAGCATTTGTCCCACGTCGTGGCAAAGACGACCAAAGCCTTTGCGAAACTTGGTGGACATCAGATTGTAGAGTATGGGATTCATGGCTGAGTTGAGATAGAGCATGATGCGGCAAAAGTAGAGTAAGCTGTAATAACGAACCAGGCCCATGTCGTGCAACGCCTGATCCGTACTCAGTATGATCCACAGCGTGAGCAGGCGAAACGGCAGCAGGCAGATAAAGAAGGATATCACCACAGCGCCCAGCATGAGCACCACCTGCTTGCGCGCCTTTAAGCTCAACTCCGGCTTGGTGGGTCGAGCACGCAGCATGGCGCCCTGGTTGGAGATAAGGTTCCGTGCAATGATGCTATACAGTACAATCAGCATGAGGAACGGCAGCACGAAGAACACGGAAATAGTCATCAGAAAGAAACCGACGGTCGACACGCCAATCGCTTGGGTCAGGCAAACGGGCACCGATGATCCATCAATATACTCAACCAGCTTGTACTCAGCCACCCAAAGTATGGGGCTATAAGAGGGAGAGAGAGAAAGAGAGATATTTGGAGAGAGAGAGAGAGGGAGAGAAATCACGTTGAAGGGCGTGAAGCAAGGTAACGAAGTATATGCTGAAGACATGGAATCAGAGAGAGAGAGAGCGAGAGAGAGATAGTGAGAGAAAGATGGAAATGGAAGTGGAGGTGTGGCTGT